GGGGGGGGGGGGGTGTCCGGTGCCTTGCTCAGGGGAACCACGGCAGGGCCCAGGACGAGAACTGGGACCTCTCCAAGAACGATCCTTCACTGTTTCCCCTTCCCTCCTCCCTCTTCCTCCCCTCGCTGATCTTTAGGGAACTGGTTCCACATGGTGTCGGCTCAGGAGCGTCTCACGCACACCTTCACGAGGAGCAGCCACACCTACACCCGCACGGAGAGGACGGAGATCAGAGAGACGAGGGCGGGGGAGACGAAGAGGGAGGTGAGGGTGGAGGAGAGCCGGCAGGTGGAGGATCCGTACAGGGACTCCGTGTTCGGAGACTTCCTGGGGAGGGAGAGTCTGAGCGGGTTCAACAACAACAGCAGCAGCCGCCAGGCACAGCTGCAGGACGGTGTGTGCAAGACCCATGTTTGGCACTGTGTGGGGACCTCAGATTGTGGACCCGTGTGTGTGTGTTTCTAACTCACTGATTTGCAGACATGAATAATTGTTTTACTTTAAGAGGGTTAACCCTGTGTTGATGCATGTACTTACTGTGTTTGGTTTTATTTTGATTGTGAGGAATTTTTCACCCTTAAAAAGCTTTTATTTTTGAAAAACTTTATGCATTCTGTAAGAAAATGTGAAATCAAATTCATTACTCAACATTATTGGTCATTTATTCTAATACCACAGTGCATGTATTTGTGCTTTGGACAAAACGAGAAGAGGTCACCAAAATGTGTTCTTTGTATTTTCTCACGTTGGATGTTTTTTGTAATTTTGCGACATTGACCAAAAGTATATAAGTCCATAGTTACAAAATGATGCTAATATTGATCAATTCCATGCCATAAGGAATGATTAACAGCTAAACAAAATGAATTACTAATTTGTATGATATTTGGATGCCATGTTTTTGGCATCTTGGTGCATGTTCTGATAACCCTAACAGTGTCTTCAGACCTCACCCCACCTGATGCATTATTCTCTTTACCCTCTCCAGGTGAGGCGAGCAACCAGGAGATGACGGCTCAGGTGACGAGTCCCGGAGGAAAGACGGAGGACGCAGAGATCATCCGGGGGGAAGACAGCGCCTACAGCGTGCGCTTCATCCCGCAGGAGATGGGCGCGCACACCGTGAACGTGAAGTACCGGAACCAGCACGTCCCCGGGAGCCCCTTCCAGTTCACTGTGGGGCCAATGGGGGAGGGGGGGGCGCACAAGGTCCGGGCGGGGGGCACCGGGCTGGAGCGGGGCGTCGCCGGGACCCCAGGTGAGATCAGATATACTGTAGTTTAGTTTATAATGCACTGTGATTTATAATATAATAGACCCTCCAGAAAAACGCGATTCTGCGATCGCAGAATTTACCGCATAATCAGCAAAATGGCGCAGATTTCTAAAAGACCGCATATTTATCAAAAGGCCGCATAATCCCCGCTTTTTTCCACACAAAGTTGAGGAAAAAAAAAGTTATCTCGTTTTGACGTGACGTCATCAGCTCGCGCATCACAGAATGTAAACAACACTGTATAGAGTGAACGTGTGGAGCTCACACGATAGAGAAAACACCAAGATGAAAATAT